ATCTGGTAGATAATGAGTTATGGGTAGGCAGTCTTTTGTTAATTTGTGTTTTGGACTGAGAATCCTTAATTGGGAGTTATTGTTGTATTCAGGGATCACTGGCATGCTTGAAGACTCGTGGATACATGGTGAGTTTTGGGCAGTCATCAGGTGCGCCAGATCCGGTTCCATTGTCGGCCATTGCAGTGAAGTCACTGTTCTTGACTAGGCCTAGCCTCTTTCATTACGCTGTAACTCGAGACGAATTGCTAGAGATGGCGGGAGAGGTATTTGGTAATGTTCAATCAGGTGTATTGCGGGTTCGAGTAAATCACACCTATCCATTGTCTCAAGCAGCACAGGCACACGAAGACCTTGAGAATAGGAAAACATCCGGATCTGTTGTGCTTATCCCCTAAGGCAAATATGAGTTTGGTCTGTACATTTTAAAGGCTAAGTGGTGTGTGTGAAAATGAATAAGGAACGTTTGCCTTCATGTTCAGGATAGATGCTGTGCCAAATGATATGGATGTCTCAGACTGCAGTCATCAAGAGACTTTGTTAAGCTAGCAATAAAAACAAGAAAAACTGGACTTTTTCCATCTTGCTGATTTCTAAGTTTTATCTTGAATTTATTGTAATATATTGCGAGTAAAAAATTTTCTTTTTCTTTGTATAATAGTGAAAGTGGTGTATTATAACAAGGAGGATAATGATATCAAGGCTTAAAAGAGTAGAAAGAGAATTTGTTCCGAATTGGCAATGTAATATACCCAAATTAATTTCCATGAACATAAAACGTTGCTGATTTATATGAGCAGACTTAGCTCAACAACTGCAGTGCCAGTGTTGTTGACATACATAACCAGACGCAAGTATTTGCCTTTTTGAATGTGCTTGCTTATAACTTATAAGAAATATGTTGGAAATATTGTTGGAAAATATATTGGGCTGTAAAATGTGCAAATGAGCCCAACCAGCCCGAGACTCTATTTCAGACCAAATTGCTCCAAATCAGGCCAGTTCTATGTCATTAACCGTTTACAGGCTATGTGGTCTGTGTGTGAAAATACTATGCCAATGAAATGGACGTCTCCAACTGCAGCCATCAACATCTTAGATTCTTTTCCCTAACTGTGAAGTAAAATTCAGGTAATGTACACATTCTACTTTGTATATCTCTCATCACATTATACTCATGATACATACGTTTTTCTTGATATTGAGTCACCTAATTCTAGGAGGTGGAAGGAAGGCATGCAAAAAGATGTCCATATAATCAGACTGACATGGAAAACATAATGTCATATATGAGAGAGAGAGAGATAAAGAGAACGTGGAGAGCATGCAAGGGTGCTCATATAACTAACATAATGTGATGAGAAAGACAAAGACAAAGTGAATGCACACTCATGATACACACACTTTTCTCCATAGTGTGAGTCCGTGAATCCTAACACTCGGAAAATTTCTCAGAGGCCAATGGAGATGAGTGACTGGGAGTGTTCCTAATAATTTCTCTTCATCTACTTCAAGAAAATTGAGGAGGTGACATAATAGGAGTTCTCTCCCATGCCATTCATTTCTATTGATTCTGACAGTCTCTCCCTTTTCCTTGATGCCAAGACGGATGCCCTTTTGATAATTCTTGTAACGTTTTGTTTTTCTTTACAGGATGTTACGATTAAGTAGGCGATTGGAGATTTACCATGTGCACCAAGCTGGACTTTCAATTATAATTGCAGAATTTGGTCACAATTTCCTGGTTTTATTCTACTAATACATATTTCCTGGCTCATATATATCCTATTATTATTATTATAGGGTAGAGACTTGGTCATAGATAATTGACCAAGGATCTATAGGTACCACCAGGTTTCCACCCAACTGGAATTACATCTTTGGCCAGCAAAGTTTGGGCTGAATACTGAGATGTCAACCTTATTGACAATGGAGGATGCAGTTCTGAGCCTGCATCAAGTTTCCACACTGCACCCCATGATTGTTGCATGGCACGCCATTCATCACCCCCGTCCGATGAGGAAGCCTCCTTCAACTCAACACCAGCAAGATCACCATCTCCCTCCTCAAATTCAATCACAGCAGCAAAATAGTTTGGGTTTGAGCCCTGGTCTACGTGGAATGCAATGGTTTTTCCTGAATAGTCACATGCCACACTGGCAAATGGCGATGGAAAAAAAAAACACAAATTAATCTAGTCCAAAATGTATAATAAATAATCTACCAAATTTTGCAAAAGTAAAATTGGGTTTCATGTACCGTGCAAACTGAACTTGTAACACTCCGGTATCGCGTAGTTTCTCTTGTTGGCCAGGACTTGCCATGGCACCAAACGCAGTTCCACTCAGGTCGAAATGTGCCGGCTCCGATGCACAAGGTCCTCCGGGGCAAAAGTCCGTGATGACCACCCTCACTGGTCTGCCGGAACAAGATGCATGTTTGGTACATTTTACCTGAAGTTAATTAAAATTGGACAAATTAATATATATATATATATATATATATATTTGGAGAGAAGTAATATATTATTATATATACGTCCAAACACTAAAGTTTTGTGAATGTCAGCTATTATAAAGAATAGAAGAGTGACGTAAGCCAATTAGGAAGGGAAATATATTGGTGGTTGTACATGCCATAAAAAAAAAATATAAAAAGAAGGGAAATTTATCATAAGGGGTGCGTGTAATTACCACCTAGAAAAAATAAGAAAGGAGAGGAAATACTTTATACCTGATAACAAGCTCCGCATTCCTTGCCTGATTTGTACAGAGAAGGGCCTATCCCAGTAACCATAGAAGAGAATGGAGGCTGTGACACCAAATTTCCATACCCACAAGACCCGCCTGCATTTACAATATTTTGTTAACTAAACAACATCATTATTTCTTAAGCAAAATTATTAAACGTGCACATATTAATCATGCATTAATTACCGTCACTTCCCGCACCGTCAGGGCTGCCATACCAAGTAGCTCCGGCAGGGTACCAATTGGTGGCAGCGGTCGACAAGTTTAAGTGCTTGCGATTAACTGCAAAACACAGCTTAAAGTAGCAAAATACAGTGATTAAGTACCAAAGGGGTTTTAAACCAGCCAAGGATAGCTTATTAAGAGTGGCCATGGCTAAGGTGCACTGCACTTAAGTTGATATGACTAGTTTAGAGTGTGGTTTTTAGTGTTAAAAGCCTACTGGTTTTTATAGAGGAAAATATCATGTGCCTGTTGCTGTCAATCCAAGTCCAATTATTTTTTTAAAATTGGTATTATTAATGGAGTGAAGTGAAGTAACATGGCGTTTTCTATAGGTCGCCTTAATTTGACACAAACTAGAGGACACTTTTTTGAATTACCGTATCTTTTATTGACAGGAAAATAATCAGAGACTAATAATCTACACATGTAGTTTGAATTTGCAGGCTCAAGTTCTGCAGATAAGCCAATGAAAACATGGTTTTGCTTGCAAATCTTCAAGGGAGGATTTCAAGACGAGACGAGACAATCAACTCAAGCAGTAGGTTTTTGACTAATTTGCATGGCTAATTATAACAATATTATGGCTCAGCCTAAATAATCTAAACGAAAAGAAGTCTGTCGGTGGAGTAGGGCCGTCCTTGATCTTGGATTTTAACATTTTGTGTTGCATCATGCACAAAAGGTTTCCATGGATTCAGCCGTTGATGGCGGTTAACGGTCGTTATTATATATATATATATATATATCTCCAGGCCCTTGCAATTTTCTGGGATGCCATTTTCAAAACAAAAATAATAAAAAAATAAAGATCGAATGGCTATAATTTCAACAGCATCAGGGCCACCTATTATATACTAATTTGTAGATTATGGACGTTATTATATAATGATAATTGGGTGTGGTTTTATATGGTGGCGGACATTATTATTTTAACGGTAATTGATTAGCTTATGGATGAAATAATTTTGTAATTATGCACACAACCTAGTGAATATATAATGATGGATGCTTGTTTTAAAATCCCATTGAGCAAGAAATCTCAACTACCGAATCTATCAATTTGGGTTTTATGTAGAATTTTTTTTTTCATGGAGATAGATAGTCCTACTTTATTATATCAACTTCTGCATGCTAAAACTTTTTGAAAAAAGAAAATATATATATTTATTCAAGTTAGTTGGGTCAGTGAAGCCTTTGATTTTGTTAAGTCCCCCAAGTTAATATCCCCCGGTGATCCAAACACAAATATCTTCGTTTAAGAGAATATTTTTAGTGTAGAAAGTCTCAAATTTAAGATATTTCCTAAAAAACAAAGGCATAGGCACATAGGTTCGGGCCAGACGGACTACTCCAACAACACTTATCCACAAACCGGTTACTAGTACAAATAGTGTTGACTATATGATTTTTGCTTCCTTTGTGTTTCATATGTGCTTGTTTGTGGCCGTTATTTCTGTTTTGTTTCTCTTGGGTTGTTTCGGCATTTTATTGGGCTTGGGGTTTGTGTTGTAGTCTTTCTGTTGGGCTATATTTAACTTTTAGCCTTTGTTGGTCTCCATTGGGCCGACTAGTTGCTAGTTGGAGAGGTCACTTTGCTTCCAGTTCCACTGTCTTGCTCCTTTGGGTTTGTGTCAAATTGACACCCATCACCCAAATCCTAAAATATTTTCCGGACTTTCCAATTTTGCTCTCATTTAGATTATCCCCCTTTTTTCTTTTTCTTTTTCTTTTTCGTAGCATCCATGCTCAATGATTTGTGAACATCAGGCCTTAATTCAAACAAATCCTAAAATATCAACTAGTCGGCCCAATGGAGACCAACAAAGGCTAAATGATTTGTGAATTGTTCTTCTTGGACCATTTTGTTTTTATTCTTCTTGGATTGTATTTTGCTTTATGCTTCAACCAATCAGGTTCAAAATTAAGCGATATTTTAGTTTGAACATTCCACACTGAGGCATACTGATAATGATGTCTAGCAGTCAAGGAAGACTTCTGTTCATGTTGCCAATCTATATCCTTACAAACTCTATCTTCCCAATATCTACTCTCTCTTTTTTCCACACTGGTGCATTAGCTTGAAAGAAGAAAAGCCATGGCAGCAGCTGAGTTAGGAATAATAACAAGCAAAGATGAGCATTACAATGGCAAGATGACCCTGCTTGTTGTGCTATCTTGTATGGTTGCTGCCATGGGAGGCATTATTTATGGCTATGATATTGGGATTTCAGGTCAGTCAGCTTCTCTAGTAACACATATATATTGAATTAGTTCTTGTAATACTTGCCAAACATTATTATGCAAGTACTAATCCTGATAAATTCATGAAGGTGGAGTGACTTCAATGGAGCCGTTTCTCAAGAAATTTTTCCCAGAAGTGCGCACTAAGATGAAAGAAGATACCAAAACCAGCAACTACTGCAAATTTGATAGCCAACTTTTAACAGCATTTACATCCTCACTCTATATAGCTGGCCTTGTAGCTTCCTTCTTTGCCTCTTCAGTCACCAGAACCTTCGGCCGAAAGCCTTCAATCCTTGTAGCTGGTGCCTCATTCCTTGCTGGTTCGGCCTTAGGCGGTGCAGCTACTAATGTCTTCATGCTAATATCTGGTCGTATCTTGCTTGGTGTTGGGGTTGGCTTTGCAAACCAGGTATTATGCTCCATATTTGAACTTTTTTTTTCCTTTTTTTACTTAAGATTAGTCTATGTGGTAATGTTCTATTGTCATACATATGACTTGTTATTTTGTTAAACAAAATTCTTGCAACATAGGATGCCGTGGCAGACAAAATTTTCCATTGATATACATTTTAATAATGTTATGTGTGATAACATTTGGTTCCACACAATCAAACATCCTTGCAGTCAGTCCCACTTTATCTCTCAGAAATGGCACTGCCTAGACACAGAGGAGCTTTCAACATTGGCTTCCAATTATGTGTTGCCATTGGAGTATTATCAGCTAACCTCATCAACTTTGGTGCCGAAAAGATCACAGGCGGCTGGGGGTGGCGAATCTCCCTATCCTTGGCAGCAGTCCCAGCCTCAATACTAACTCTAGGTGCTCTTTTACTTCCAGAAACACCCAACAGCTTAATCCAACGCTCCAACGACCACCAAAAAGCAGAGTCAATGCTACAACGAACACGAGGATGCGAAGATGTCCAAGCAGAACTGCATGATCTCATCAAAGCAAGTGAAAATTCAAAAACCATCAAACACCCTTTTAAGAAATTGATGCAAAGAAAGTATAGGCCTCAACTTGTCATGGCAATTGCCATGCCATTCTTTACACAAGTGACTGGGATCAATGTCATCTCGTTTTATGCTCCAGTACTATTTAGAACACTTGGTCTAAGTGAAAGCATGTCACTCTTGTCAGCTGTGATGAGCACCGGCATGGTAGGCACCGGCGCGACGTTTGTATCAATGCTTATGGTGGACAAACTAGGCAGAAGAACTCTGTTTGCAATTGGGGGCGTTCAAATGTTTGTGTCACAAGTTATAGTGGGGAGCATAATGGCAGCTGAGCTAGGTGACATTGGGGGAATAAGCAAAGGGTATGCATATTTGGTGTTGATCTTTGTGTGTGTGTATGTAGCTGGGTTTGCTTGGTCATGGGGCCCACTAGGGTGGCTGATCCCAAGTGAGATTTTCCCATTGGAGATAAGATCAGCTGGGCAAAGTGTTACAGTGGCAGTAAACTTTGTGTCCACTTTTGGTATTGCTCAATCATTTCTCTCCATGCTTTGCCACTTCAAGTCTGGGATTTTCTTCTTTTTTGGAGGTTGGGTTATGGTGATGACTGGTTTTGTGTACCTCTTGTTGCCTGAGACTGCAAATATTCCTATTGAGAAGATGGATAGGGTGTGGATGGGGCATTGGTTTTGGAACAGATATGTGGGACAAGTGAGGGAGGATAGTGATTAATTAAGCTGTAATTAATGATGTGGTAAATTGATTGTTAACCTATCTAACCAACAAGGTTAGAGGTTAATTGGATTGTACCACTTTAGGGTTATTGGCCTTTTGCAATTTGGGACCATTTGTAGAAGTTTACTGAAAAACATATCACATTAGAGAGAGCTATAGCGGTTTGCTCTGTTTTAGAGGTTCACAGGTGTGAAGCCAAACCACACCTGAAACCAATCAATTAGAGCTAACAGAGTCAGTTTATGCTAAATGCCTAATAATCATGCATTATGATAAGTTGAATGGTCCTGCTTGAATATTGAATTTTGGTGAGTTGAATGGTCTTACTTGAATATTTAATTTTGTAAAATGTCGCGTCTGATAGAGATTGTGATTGCAATTTGCAACCAGTCCAAAACGATTTGTTTGATCTCAACCAGTCAAGTAAGACTGCTCTCTCTCTCTCTGCTCTCTTGTGGGTTGAGCTTGGAAGAAGCTAGCCATGGCAGTTGGGTACTGATATGCGCTGCCAAAAAAATAGAAACACATGACACTTGTGGTCCATATAATTGTAGTTCTTAGCAAATTTTCATTTTTTTTTAATCCGAATCAATTTTTCATTTTGGTTATTATAATTTGGGTTAAGTACAGTTTAGTACCATGTACTTACAACGTTAAGACATGTTAGAGCCTCTCCAGCGGTAAGCCCAGCCCGAGGCTGGGGGGCCCGGCTGGCCTGAAGGCAACTTCTGCCTGAGGTCCAAAACGAGGGGATGACTGTAGCGCTACAGTATCTGCTACAGTCGCTACAGTACCTCGCTGATTTGATTTTTTTTTCCTGTTGCCACGTGGCGTCGTCTGGGCTCTCCGATCTGATTTTTTCCTCCAATCCAACGGCAGCCAATTTTTTTGCAATAAAATACTGGAAAAAATTCG